ATTGGTATTTTTAAAATGTGAGGCTCTATCGGTCTTTATTTTACCTAGCTCTTATAAATGTCAACATTTTATTTTGCATTCATAATACTGTCCTGTTCAGATTCATTGTCACTAAAGACTTTTGAAATAGATGTGCAGCAAAATCAAATGCACCTTACTTAGTTACTCAAAGTGATCAAACAAGAAGACTGAAGCGAAGACCTAGTTCTTTTACTCAGTTTTCTATAACACAGTGTTCTAAAACTATATATATTAAAGGATGTGAAATTGGCTTTTCTACTGCCTATTTGTAGTGTGTCAAAATGCAATATAGAAAAAGACTTTGAAAGCCAATAAAAACATCTGTTGAAATATTATAAATAGAAAGCTCAAGGTGACTGGTCATTTTCATTCAAGTCTCATTCTGTACATGGTAGTGATTTTAGAAATTATGAGAGTACACTGCTTTCAATGCAAAGTAATTGAATTTAAATGTATTTCTGGTGTTGTTATTAATAGAAAGTGATCTGAAGAAATGAATAAAGACATTAATCCAATTGAAAGGAAACCAGGTTTGTGTCATGATCCCTTGAGGATTGCTGGAAAGTAATCGGATAAACTAGTTTCTGCTGCAGCCAACACAATCCTTGTTTGGAAATCACTGCCTTTAAACAGGCAACCCTGGGAAAGAAAGGTACTTTTATGATGGTCTTTCAAAACCATTCCACCACTTAGGTTAAATGGCCTTACAGAAATAATACCTAAGATTTTAAAAAGCTTTTAAAATATTCTAATTAAATATGATTCACATTGAAAAACTATCTCAGTAAATCAATGTCCTGGCTTACTTATACTAAAGTGGAATCATGATGACTATGACAAATACAATGCAGACTCAGGTAACACAGCAGTGACTCGGATGCTGTCATAATTGTACTCCCTGGGGAAAAGAGTCTAAGATGTAGACTGGTAAGCAGTTTATTAACAAATACTTATGGAGGAGTACAAGGAGCCTTGATAGCGTAGTGGATTTCGACCTGGGCTGCTAGCCACATGGTCAGAAGTTTGAAACTACCAGCCACTCCACAGAAGAAAGATGAGGCTTTCTGCTCCTGTAAGAGTTTACAACCAGGGAGGAGTACAGCAGAACAGGGTTGGGAAAAGAGAGCTGTGTAACTGAGACTGAGCCACAACAAAAGGCTCAGCCAATCCAACTCTCACAGGCAGCCAAAGATATGAACTGAGTAGAGAGATTTCAGTACCAAAGTAATGGATGGCTTGGGAGTCTAGGTCACCTGCTTGTGTAACTTACCTGTGTTCTCGGGATCTGCCTTTGCTTGATCCCAGCTGAGAACTTCCAACTTCCCAATGATTTATGTAAATATTCTGCCCCACAAGGGGATGGAGCAGTTACCTGCCTCTTTAATAAGTTAGGTATATTGGCTTCTTCCCTAACAGTACAGTATGGAAAGGAATGGAGGAGAATAAAGTTACGGTAGAGACAACTGACAAACATCACCTGGGTCAGCTGATGGATGTTACCATTATCAATGAAAAAATGCTTGCTATATCATGTACCCTTGATATGATGTGACTGACTCTGTACCTCTGTGGTCTTCCTTTCCAAAATCCATACCCCCAATCAAATCATGAGAAAAATACCCATTAAACCCCAATTGAGGAACATTCCACAAAAATCTTCAAAATGCCCAAGTCAAGGAAAGTCTGAGGAATCTTAAGAAGTCATGGTAACAAAATGTAATGTGGTATCCTGGGACAGAAGCATAGCATTAGGTAAAAACTAGAAAATGTGAGTAAATACCAGCAATGGTTCATAACCAGCTGCCGGCAAGTAGATTTTAACTCACGGTAACCCAATGCATGTCAGCAGAACTGTGCTCCACAGGGACTTCAATGGCTAAGGTTTTGGAAGTTGACCACTATACTAGCAAGTCTCCTTCATTAAGGGCCAGCCAGACCTCTCTTTTGAAGCACCTCTGGGTGGACTTGATGAACAGACAAGCATATCACACTTTCCAGGGACTCTACTGATGCATTAGATGTGACAAATGTATCCTATTAGTATGAGATATAAAGTGTGTGTGGGGTACATGCGAACTCTGTACTTTACAATTTTTTCAAAGAAATCTAAAATTATTCTGAAAATTCTTAATGTAGCAAAAATTTAAAAAGAATTTCTGGTAGACCTCTCAGAACCTTTGACTTGGTGGGTTTGTGAATACTCAGCTCATGATGACAGTCTGGGCTACAGTCACATGATGACCATCTCTTGTAGAGTTCAGCATCAAGTCAAAAGCTGTTTCTTCACAGAATGAGACACAACCTCCTCTGTCCCTGGAAATGGCATGGCTTTGTGACAGAGCCCTAGGTGTGTATGCTATGGGTCTCCTGCTGGGCTGATCATGATTCCATGTGGCATCTTTTCTCACCACCAAGATTCTAATCACCAGAGGGTCTACAGGGCCCGATGACCCAACTGGCAGGCCACTTGGCCATAGCTAGAACCTGTTTGAAATCCTTTTCTACTCTGGGCCTCCCTTCGGAGCTGGTAGTGTTCCATGTCATCTAGTTTTTTGGGATGAAGCAGTTATTTCCAGGTGAGGAACATGCTACCAAGCATTCTATTGTCGGCTTAGGGTTGGGAGACGTGAGCTGTACCGATCCGACCTTTACTGTGGAGGGATATCCCAGCATCCCCAGTTCTGTCAATGAGCCCACTTCTCTGTAAGCATCTGACCCACAGAGCTTCTCAATGACGCTGGTGCCCCCCTTAAGAAAGCACACTTTATTGTTCCGTGCATTAAAATACATGAAATATGAAATCAGGTGTTTGGTAAGTAATTACAGGGTTTTTTCCAGGTATCTATTAAAATAACTATTAAACCAAAATGCCCTAGCATGGTGGTGGTGGTGATGATGGTGATGGTGGTGTGCCATCGAGTAAGTTCTGACTCATAGCAACCCTGTACAGGGCTTTAATTTAAAGGGAATATGGAGTTCTGGTGTGGCACTGTGGAATACAGCACTGGACTGTGAGGTCGATTTGAACCATAAGGTTGGTGGTTCAAACTCACCAGCTGCTCCTTGGAAACTCTATATAGGGTCACTATGAGTCAGAAGCGACTCTATGGCACTTAACAACATGGAAAGGATGTCAGTTCTTTCTTATTTCTCAGAAATACAACACACACATCCAAATGAAAAGTAAATACCGAAACCTTTTAATTTGGGAGAAGGAAAATGTCTTGGTAGTTGGTGTTTTTATGATTGAGGCAATTTTCTCATTCATTCATTTCTTATAAAAAATAAAGCGTCTGATCATCTATGGCTTCTCTAGAGATGCAAACAATCTCATGTATTTTAACATAAAAAATTCAGACAGGCAATAGAGAAATCTTTAGCACAAAGATGAAAACACTACAATTTTCAAAGATTTTCTGCTTTATTTTGTTTGCTTATTTGTTTCACTGTTTGTGTGTTTTCTCGAAAGAGTCTACAGAAGTGCAGGAAAATATCTGCAGGCGAATTTTAAACAACATGAGAGAGGAATTATGCACGAAATACAAAAAACAGAACTTTTATAACTTACTTATTAAACGAGGAAGAATGTTCCTGAAGCACGTCAGGTCAATTGAGCCTAAGGAAATGGAGACGTGGATTGCTTCTAATGAGTATTTGAAACATTTTTTTTAATACTACCAAAAGGACAAGTCAAGATATGGAAAATTTCAAGTCACAATACCCTGAACAGACTAAATATAACTTATTTTTTCAAACCTGAAGTCAGTAATGTAAAATCTGTAAACGTAGTAATATAGCTATTGTTCACAGTAGTCTACTAATAAATCCTCTACATCCTTAAAGTCTTCACAATGAAGGAACTATGATCTCCTGGCAACCTTCCTGCTTAAGGTGCAAGTAATTTTGAAGGCTGTGTGTAGAAACAAGCTGCATTTGCAACATTGCTCCATTTTGCAGAGCCTTTCCACAGCTGAAGGGAGCCTAGAAATGGCCTGCTCTGGTGCAGTACAGCTCGACAGATGTGCAGCCTGCAGGCTGGTGCAATTCTCAACCAAAAATCAGAAACAGATGAACAGAAAACAAAGAAGTAGTGGTCAGACATTTCAACTTACAGATGCTAGCCCAGATAAAATGGTAAGGAGTTTGAGACTAGAAATGGACAATATGCAAAAATGAGGTCATCTGATATCGATATGTAAGGATTTCAGAAGCATACGTCACACATTAAAGACAGAACTTTTCCATGTGGCTGCAGGATGGTCTTTCTTTTTGTTCTAAGAGCTCTTGAGCCGGTTCCGACTCATAGTGACCCTGTATGGGATTTCCAAGGAGTGGCTGGTGAGTTTGACCACTGACCTTGTAGTCCAGTACTTATCCTACAGCACCACACCAGAACTCCAGCACTTCCAGACATCTCTATTCTCTGGAACACTTAAACTTCTATATAATCAGAACTAGCACTCAACATTATGCCACTGACATCATCCAAGGTTCTGTAGGTTCTTCCAAATCAAAGAAAGGTACATTATGCCTGGTATTATTTTGGTGTTAATCTATATGATATGATAATAATTTAGAAACTGATCATTCGTGTTTGGGCTCCATTAATCATATTGTTTCATTAACTAGAACATCCCATTCTCCCAAAAGGATTAATGAGAGGAGGCTATTATACAACAAAACCAAAACTGATCCAGTAGCTTCTTCTTGGAATATAAGCATGGTGAAGAACTATCCCACTGACCACCTCCCATAATCTCTTTCTAGGTGCACAGTGGCCAGGGTGTCTCCATGGAATCTGAACATTTCATAGAGTAAGGTCCTTCTGAAGACCAGATATCCAGATCTTCAGATTTCTGCAAGAATCAGAATCCTTCGTTTTTCAATCAGAAAATCTCACTCTTTACATGCAACCGTCCAACTGTGGTTGGCTGGTGAGTCCCAATGGAATAATTCCAATTTGTCCCTGAGACTATCCTTTAGGGACTTGGAAATGGACGGTAGTGCAGTTCTTTCTGGCCATCGGCTGAGCATGGAACTCCATGCTTCTTGGGGTAAGTTCGACTGGCAATTTTAAAGAACTCTTCTGCAGCATCAAGAGCAATAAGACGGTCCTGCAGGGAAAAAAAAAAAAAATTATATTTTTACATCTCCCAGACAGGAACCAAGTTAAGGTATGCCATATTAACGAGAAAACCAATCTAACGACAACAAAATCTACTCTAACAAAATAACATGTGAACAAAACCTTTATGAACATTTCCTCGGCAAATTCAGACATGATTTATTCCTTTACATTCCCAAGAAACATCTCACTGCTTTCAGAATTGTTCCCAAATCTTTTAATTTTTATCAATAATATTTCTCATATCTGACTTACGGTTTAAAAGCTGCCGACACATCAGAATCAGTTACAAAAGTACAGATTCTTTAGCCAGTACCCAAGGTCAGATAGATCTGGGTGTTATCTAGAAATCTGCATTTGTAAAGCCCACTAGGTGAGAGTGATGGCAGTGGTCACTGGGTAGCAAGGCACGTGACACCGGTGTCACCTGCCACCTCGTACTGGGGTGCTGGGGCTACTGGAGTGATGTGTATATTCAATAAAATGTATTGTTATTCCACATGCTAAATAGAAAGGACAAAAATGTCAAGCAAAATTAGGACAGATTAAAAAAAAGTCATTCACTTACCACAACAAAGAGGTATCTCTCTGAGAGCTCCCAACCTGTTGGGAAAATACTGGTCTCTTCAGCCAGTTTCAACAACACTTCTCGGGCCTTCCTTGTGTTCTTAGAATCGCTGATGGTGCTGAGTTTAGTGACGGACAACAAAGAGTCTGCTTCCCTTTGAAAACCTAAGGTACAGAAATACCCCCGTGTACAGTAAAGCAGTCATGCGGAAACAAGGGTCCTGCAGCATGTACCAAGGAGACGGAAAGGGGTCCAAGTGTGAGTCTGTGCCAACATCGGAGATCTGAAGCCAAAGGCACCGCTCCTTGAACCGCTTTCCAGCTCAGTGGGAGCAGCAGGGTCTGGCATCACAATTCTGTCTTTCTTCTTACTGAATTTTATTTTATAACAAACATCAAGCCTTAGAGAATGTGTTGTTGTTAAGTATCATCAAGTGGCTTCTGAGTCATAGTAACCCTGTAGAGGGTTTCTGAGGCTGTAAATTCTAGCAGCAGCAGAAAGCCTCATCTTTCTCCCATGGAGTAGCGGGTGGGCTTGAACTGTCTATCTTGTTGGCCACAGTCCAGCACTTATCCTACAGAGCCACTGTACTCCTCACTGACTGCTCACTACCTTTTTTGTTTGTTTTTGCTTTGAAGCTCTCTTTCCACCTCTACTGGTTTTCTCCTTTCCTGCCCACAGGATCCCCCAAGACCTTGAATTTCCCAAGTGGCCACCTCCAGTCCCCTCCTATCCTAGACCAGATTTTCTTCTGTGGGGCAATATGTTTGGTTGGTTAAATTTACTAAACCAAATGTTGTAAAAGACTTATGGGCTTAAGCCTGCCTGTAGATACATGCACTGAAAAAACAAATACTATTAACTCACATGATTACTGAATAAACAAACAGGGTGAGAATCTCATGCCATCCCACTCCGTACCAACTACAGCCGCAGGGGCTGGCAACTTGGCACTCCCTTTTGAAAAGTTACAATGCCTTTTACAAAACACATAAGGATTAAGGACTTCAAAATTGATAAGCTTATTTTTTAAGTATTAAAACAAGTTTATGTCCCTCTTCAAGACTGAAACTCAAAGGGAACACATGAGCAGGTATGTAAGCTTGCTGGCGACCACATTGATCTACTGGTGAGTAGAAGAGAAGGAAAGGCAGCAATGAAGAAATGGGTTGAGTTCAACCACATTCCATAGACTCCCAATAACCTGGAGATGAGAGAGAAGGGGAAGGGCTGGTTGGTCCAAAGTGTGGTGAGACCTGAGGACACCTGAGCCCATGGACAAGGACATAGCCACAGAGGGCCAGAGCTGAGAGTGAAGCATCCAGCTGATAAGAGTGAGGGGAGATGCACAGGAACACCCAAACTTGCAGACAGTACCCTTTTGACCTAGCCTCAATGGCTTGATGATCACAACTCGACTAGAGGAAGACAAAAAAACAATGTTTGGTAAAGGAAACAAGTGTAAACTGCTACAATTTAATGAACTTGATCTATACTTATGGATGCAGTAGCTCAAAATATCAACTGAGAGGGAAGGAGTCTTCAGATCAAATACCAATTCTAACTCCTCTGTATACAGGGTAGCTAGGGATGGGCAACTTAGATATTGGCTACCTAAAACAAGGAGGAGATAAAGGCATGAAGTGACTGGCTTACAAGGTTTCAAAAGGGAGTTTAGTTTAAGAGTGTGTGGAGGAAGATAGAGTCCCCACTGAATAGTTTTCATCTTGTCTAAATGGGTTTGGTAAAAAGAGATGGGGATAAGATTCTTATGATTCAGTTGTAATTGTTATCATAACTAACTGCGGCTGTCACAAATGTAAAGGTAGAAGTTTTGTAACAAAAACGGGGGAGTAGTTAAGCTTACAATCCAGAAACAAGAGGACCCTAGGACCATTAAGGGAGAAGAGCACAAGCGGAATACGGGACCCTATCCAGAGAAGCAGTGACACCAGAGACGGAGGCAGAGATGAGAGATCCCTCTCAGTCCCTCTCTTTCCATGAATCTAGTGTCCTCTAGAGGGGTTAGGATTGGTATTTGATGTGAAAACTCCTTCCTTCTCAGTTGATATTTTGAGTTACTACATCCATAAGTATAGGTCAAGTTCATTAGATTGTAACTGAGGACCCCAGATTCATGGAAAGAGAGCTGACGGCCAGCAGGCAGACTTGCAGAATGTGCCCTTTGGTGGTTTAGATTATTATATATGCCTGAGTGTTTAAAAAAAAGAGAGCTAAAATGAATAGAGAGAAATACTGTTAACTGATGGTACATGGAGGGGATTATAACCATTGTAATGAAACAAAGTATATGATTTGTTGAATATAAAACTGATGATCTGGTCTGTAAACTTTCATTCAATTCACAATAAAAACTTTATTTTAAAATAAGAGGGAGTCTAGCTTAAGAGTGTGCAGAAGAAGATAGAGACCCCACAAAATAGTTTTCATCTTGTCTAGATAGCTCTGGTAGCATAGTGGTTACGAATCGGGCTACGAACCGCAAGGTCAGCAGTTCAAAACTACCAGCTGTTCCGTGGGAGAAAGATGAGGCTTTCTATTCCCGTAAAGATTTGTAGCCTCGAAAACCCTGCACAAGGTTGCTATGAGTCGGAACCAACTCCACGGCACATAACAACAACAACAACAGATAAGTCTGGTGAAAAGAGATGGGGATAATATACTTATGATTTAATAGTAACTATTATCTGTAAGGAGCTCTGGTAGCGTAGTGGTTACGAATCGGGCTGCGAACCTTAAGGTCAGCGGTTCGAAACTACCAGCCGCTCCGCGGGAGAAAGATGAGGCTTTCTACTCCCGTAAGGATTTACACCCTCGGAAACCCTGTACAGGGTCGCTATGGGTCGGAACCGACTCGACAGCACTTAACAACAACAACAACAATTATCTGTAAGGTCAGCAGTTCAAGCTCACCAGCTGCTCCTCGGAAACCCTATACAGGATCACGATGGGTCGGAACCAAATCAACGGCATTTAACAACAACAACAGCAAATATTGTTGTTGTTGTTAAGTGCTGTCGAGTCAGTTCCAACCCATAGCGACCCTGTACAGGGTTTCCGAGGGTGTAAATATAACATTAGTCAATTAATGGCACCCACCTCCCGCCCCCCCCTCCCCGTAGAGAACGTGAAGAGTAATGATCACAACTAAGTCTTTATCACAATCACTTTCAGACTCACCTAAATCTTCCAAAATGCATTTCCATCTGTTTCTCACTTCCCTTCGAATTTGCCGCAGGGTATAGATGTCATAATTGAGTTTTTGCCATTCCTGTAGGAAAACAAAAAGATTTCGTTTTGTATTCTTTAGTCTAAACCACTATCTCAATCCTGAAATTAAACTTGTCCAAACATGCTGTTCTCTTCAAAGCAATGTCTAAAAGAAGAGATGGAGAAGGTGAGACAGAGTCACAGGAATGCCAGCAGCTACCATTTCTGAGACTCTGCTGTGTACTAAGGGATAGGACCCTCGACATCTACCACCTTATTTAAACTCCTCACATTATCTATTGTTTCCACTTCACAGTTTGCACCTGTAAAGTGAGGATGCTGGGAGAATTAATGGTGTGCTGTTGAGTGGGTTCCAATTCACAGGAAGGCTGAATAGGGAGCAGAAAGCTTTATCTTCTGTGGAGAGGCTGGTGGATTTAAACTGCTGAACCTACAGTTAGTCCAATGCATACATAACTAAGTAGAGATAAGAATGGTAAATATTTCTTATAAGATGTTATAAAGATTGAAGGCATGTAAAAGTACAACATCTGCATTCAGCACTCAATAAGAGTCATGATTAAGGTCATTTATGGAGTCCTGGTAGGATCAGCACTGGACTGCTAATTACAAGGTCAGTGGTTCAAATCCACCAGCCACTCTTCAAAAGGCCTATACGGGTCGTTATGAGTTGGAACTGACTCAACAGCACTTAACAACCACAACAAGGCCATTTTAGAAATGAAGAAACTGAGGCCCAAAGCGTTTAACAGAGTAATAGACTTACATAATTAGAATTGATATTTAAACCCAGGTCTGGTGCCAAAGTTCATGAGAAAACTGACAACGAATTTAAGATACCTTTTTCCATCATAATCAAATAGACCTGGGAATTGCAAAGTTTCTGATTCCCAGCCAATATTTCCCTTCACCGTATCTCAGCATCTCTTTTTCATTTAGATCACCTTTGTAGACTAAATCTTTCAAGCATTGAGCAGAGTTAATAAAAGATCATCATTCTGAAAACGTATCAGTCTTAAGAGTGGTAGGCCATCACAGATACTAGTCCCCATTTAGACATTTGACTCTTTCAGGAACAGTAGAATCTTCACTGAGCTAAAATGTCATGGAAATGTGTCTTTAGTGAAACTTAGTGTGTGGTACTGTAGGATCAGCACTGGACTGAGAACCATAAGGTCGTTAGTTCAAGCCCATCAGAAATCCTATATAGGGGCATTGTAAGTCAGAACTGACTTGATGGCACTTCACAACAATAACAGAGCTATAGAAGGAGTCCTGGTATATACAGGATAAGCACTGGACTGTGAACCACAGGGTCAGCAGTTCAAACTCACCAGCCACTCCTCAGAAATCTTATACAGGGCCACTATGAGTTGGAACAGACTCAATGGCACTTAACAACAATGGGCTTCTTTCAGGAGAGCAGAATCTCCGTAGGATGAGCACTGGGCTGCGAACCACAAGGTGGTAAATCTTTATGGGAGAAGAAAGCCTCATTTTTCTCCCATGGAACCTCTGGTAGTTTTCGAACTGCTGACCTTGACTTTAGCAACCTGACTCGTGACTACTGCGCTACTAGAGATCTACTGGAAGGGAGCTATAAACGGGTCTCCAGAACAAAAGGGAACCTTTAGGCACAGTATGTACTGTTAGCAAACCCAACAAAACCAGAGTAATCTGGGGAAACGTACGTCAGGCACATGGAAAGAGTGGCATGGTCCGTGCCAAATTCCAAAGCAACCTTCTTGCGAAAACCATCAGACAGAGAATCCATGTGATGCTGTATCTCTCAAAGACTTAAACTTACTGAAAAGTAAATTTAAAATTTGTGGATTTGTTAAAAAAAAAACCACAACACAAGGTTATAAATAAAACATCAGACAGAGCATCACTGTGAATGAAGATGACCCTGCTTCTAGGATTAAACAAAAAGTGGTCACACTCCTTTAGAGATCCACACAATCAATTGGAGTTGCTTCAGATATTCAAACGACTTTAAATTATTTAACAAACCACTAGGTGGTTTCATTAGCTTGAGATTGTCCTTGTTTTCTTAATGAAATGTATCCATTTCTCTACTTTTCAGATACTCATCATGGGATCATGAAAGCTTCTGAATTTTTCTACACCAACACTGGGCTGTTACATAAAATCATTCAGTTTCAGCATTTGTTACTCTGATAAAATGTCTGTTAAGGAATCAATATATTGTTGTTGTTAAGAGCTGTCAAGTTGGTTTCAACTTATAGCAACCATGTATAGGATTTCTGAGGAGTTGCTGGTGGATTTGAACTGCCACCTTAGGGTTCAAATGGACCTAGGGCTTATTCTATTAACTGATACTCAATATGAAATTTCAAAATATGCTAAAGATAGGCCCATATCTGATGCATTTTTGGATTCCACCCCTCCCTGCAGTGGCTTGTGAACCGACTTACACATGTTTTGTCGTTAAGTGGCGCCGAGTCAGTTCCGACTCATAGCGACCCTATAGACTGTTTCCCAGGAACAACTGATGAGTTTGAACTGCCGACCTTGTGGTTCAAATCAACCTTACAGTCCAGCACTTTATTCCACAGCACCATACCCGGACTCTGACTTGCATATGGTAGGTGCTTTTTAAGATTGGGGAATAAACTGAGCATTCATATATGCATATAATGGATATATACAGTCCTGGTGTGGCACTATAGAGTCAAGCACTGGATCATGAAGCTGGCGGGTCAAACCCATCAGTTGCTCCAGAAACCCTAAATAAGGTTGCTATGAATCAGAATTGACTTGACAGCACTTAACAACAACAACAATATAACAAATATATAAAGCTTAGACGCATGGGTAGCATATTAACTAAAAATTGGCCTTCAAAAAAGTAAATAATAGTAAAAGGGAATTTTGAAGTCCTTTTAAGCATATGACACCAAGGGATATAATATAAATACAGTGGTATTAAAAAATGCATTCCATTGATTTCTCTATGACTTAAGAAACAGACTTGGTACAGATATTGTAGCATCACCTGATAATAGAAAACATCTCAACAACAGATTTGACACACTGACCCCTAATGACCAAACATCAGATGAATCCAAGACATTATGCATCAAGAAAGCAAACGTCATTAAAAAGGAAAGAGAGAAAAAAACAAAATGGGTGTCAGAAGAGACTCTGAAACTTCCTCTTGAATATGGAGGAGCTAAAGCAAATGGAATGATAAAGTAAAAGAGCTGAACAGAAAATCTCAGAGTGGCTCGAAAAGACAAAGCAAGATATTATAATGAAATATGCAAAGACCACAAGTTAGAAAACCCAAAGGGAAGAACACACTTGGCATTTCTCAAGCTGAAAGAATGAATAAAATTCAAGCCTCAAATTTCAATATTGAAGGATTCTATGGAGAAAATAAGGGGCTCTGTTAGTTTAGTGGTTACAAGTCGGACTATTAACCTCAAGGTCAGCAGTTCAAAACTACCAGCTGTTCCACAGGAGAAAGATACGGCTTTCTGCTGCTGTAAAGATTTGCAGCCTCAGAAACCCTATGCAGAGTCACTATGAGTTGGAACCAACTCCACGACACATAACCACCACCACCATGGGGAAAATAATGAACAATGCAGGACACATCAAAAGAAAAATGAATACATAGAGTCACTGTACCAAAAGAATTGGTTGACATTCAACCATTTCAGGAGGTAGCATATGATCAAGAACCAACAGTAATAAAGAAAGAAGTTCAAGCTGCACTGAAGACACTGCAAAAGACAAATCCCAGAATTGCAGGAATTGACAGAATACCAATTCAGATTTTTTAGCAAACAGATGCATGGCTAGAAGCACTCACATATCTACGACAAGAAATTTGGAAGGCAGCTACCTACGTAACTGACTGGAAGAAATCTATATTTGTGCCCACTCCAAATAAAGGTTCTCCAACAAAATGTGGAAATTACAAAACAATACCATTAATATCACATGCAAATTAAATTTTGCTGAAGATATTTCAAAAATGGTTGCTGCCATATACTGGCAGTAAACAGAAATTCAAGGTGAATGCAGAAGAGGCTGTTGAACTAGCGATACCATTGCTGATGTTACATAGATCTTGGCTGAAAGCAGAGAATACCAGGAAAAGAAGTGTTTTATTGACTATGCGAAGGATCTCTGGTAACGTAATGGTTACAAGTTGGGCTGCTAACCTCAAGGTCAGCAGTTCGAAACTATTAGCTATTCCATGCGAGAAAGATGCGGCTTTCTGCTCCTGAAAAGATTTACAGCCTCGGAAACCCTATGCAGAGTCACTGAGTTGGAACTGACTCCATGGCACATCACCACCACTACTGACTATGCAAAGACATTAGACCGTGTGGAACATAACAAAGTATGAATAACTATGAAGAACAGGGATTCCAGAACACTTACTTATGCTCATACAAAACCTCTACAGAAACCAAGAGGCAGATTACATTAACCAGAGCAAAGGGATGGATGGTTTAAAATCAGGGAAAGTGTGCATCGTGTTGTGTTCTTTCACCCTACTCAGTCACTGTTTGCTGAGCAAATGATACAAGAGGCTAGCCTAGCTGAAGAAGAATATGGCATCAGGATTAGAGAAAGGCTCATTAACACACCAGATGACACCTTATTTGCTGAAAGAGAAGAAGACTTAAGTATTTAGTGATGAAGACTATAACTTTCAATTAGGATTCTATCTCCATAAAAAGAAAACAAAAAACCCTCACAATTGAACCAGAAATCAGCATCAAGAGAATGGATTCAAGTTGTCAGGAATTTGGATCCACACTCAACGTCCAGGGAAGCAGAAGTCAAGAAATCAAAGGACATCTTGCATTGATCAAATTTGCTGCAAAAGACCTATCTGAAGTTTTAAACAGCAAAGATGACACTTTGAGGACTAAGGTGCACTTGACCCAGGCCATGGTATTTTTAATTACCTCATATGCATGCAAAAGCCGAACACTGAATAGGAAAGAAACACGAAGAGTTGATGCATTTGAATTGTGATGTGAATGAAGAACATTG